TGTAGGCTTTCCATAACTTATTAAGTAAAATAAACTAAATTTTTGTTAAATTTTTTGTATCTTTTGGTGGTCTAAAACTTTTGTTTGTATCTAAAGGTAATACAGGGATTTTGACCCTGCCAAATTCTTTATGCTCTATTTTGCAAAACAATAAATAGTTAGTATTGTGATATAGAGATCTCTTGTAACTTATCTATTTATTCAATTTTTAGTGCATTTAAAAATTTAAATTCTATTGTTTTCCCTTTTATTGCATGACTAATAATTCCTTTATTACAAATATTACATGGATATAATAATGTTAGAAATGGTGTTTCTAATATTATTTGATTTGTCATTTTTTTACTAGTATAAAAGATGTAGTAAAATATATATTATTTTTACAAATTTTTACATATGATAACTTGTATTGTATATTCATTTTTGAGCCATTAGCCGAAGCTAATTTTTCTATTGTCTTTGTATAATATTTTGTTAGTATTATCCCTTCTTGTATACAATTTATGTCGGCTCCTAAATCTATTAGTGTTATCATGTTAAATTTTTCATTTTCTATTATTAAATTGATTTCACAATACCATCTATGTACTGTCATTAATGTTAATAATTTTATTTTAAAGATTTCTGTATTTTTTGTCTCTTATTCTTTAGAGGTCTTGTTATTTTGTTCTTTTAATAAAGACTTTTCTTCTAATTCAAGTATTTTAAATTCTAATATTGTTTAGTTTTGTTTTAATTCATATATTTCTGTCTTTAGTAATTTTATTTCCTTCTGTAAATCTTTTATGGTAGTTATTGGTTGTTTAAATTTTTCAAATACGTCTTTCATTCTTATTAGTTTAATTTCTATAGGTCTTTCTTCTTCTTTGGTAACCAATTCATTTAATTTTTTGATAAAATCATTTCTTAATAGGCCATCTTCTAATTCTTCTATTAATTTTATTAGATTATTAGTTTGGTCTCTTGTTAAGGTATTAATTTGGGGAATTAAGCAATCTTAGCAATTACATATTCCTAGTCCTAAATAATAATTTTCACTTTTTGATTTATCTGTTGTATTATCTAATTGATAAATTTTATTTTCTATTGTATTTTCTTTATTAGAGATTCATTATCTGATTCTTTTGGTTTGGGACTGATTAATAATATTTTTAATACTTGTTTTAATTTTGGATTTTCTAAAGAATTATTTTTTTGTTCTACTTTATAGTTTTCAGCACGATGTTCATATTTTTCACACTTCCAATAATTTCCTCGAAATTTATTTTTACATTTATTTTCTTGAATTCTATTTTGATTATTGGAGGGAGCCTTATATATTCTCTTTTTATTTTGAACTTTATTTTGTTTCTTTATTTGTTTTTTATACTGTTTACTAGTGACTTGTATAGACTCAATTCCATATTGTTCACAAAAAGTTTCTAATTCTCTTTTATCAGTTAATTCTGTAGTTTGGCATCATTACAAACTTTTAATCCTATCTACTATTATATTATGTATTTGTCCAAAGGTTAATGTTTCTAATTTATTCTTCCATCTGATCTGACTTCTAAATTTTCTAATACTTTTTTACTAAATAGAGTTGGTAAGGCAGCAATAAACCTTTCTTTCCAATAAGGGGCCGCTGCATTTTCTCTAATCATAACTTTTAAAAAAAATATATTTGATCCAACATAGTTGGATATCTTAAATTTGCTAATTATATTCCTGCTCTTTCTTTAAATAATGTTGGATCTCCTATAAAATTTTGTATAATACTAAAAACTAATGTTATTACTACATCTAACTCTTGATCTTCTTGTTTTACATGAGATAAGATAAATTCTTTATCAACAAGGCTAACATGATTATCCCACCATCCTTTCAATTGTCTTGTAAAATCTTGTATTAAGGCGTCTACCGTAGCTCTATTTGATAATTTTTTTTTCTTATAAGCAGTTGCTGCCATAATCATTTGTTGTGTTAAATCTATAATAGCTTGTTCACTTAAACCATCTAAGTTTCATTCTACTATATCATTTCCTCCACAAGAACTTTGTACAAAATTAGATCTTTGTTCTAATAAAACATCTAGTAGTGTTGGTCTATTATAATATGGTTTAATTTTTGGATAATTATTACTAAAATTTATTTTATTTACTTTCGAAACATATTCTTCTATTGTATTTATCAATGGTTTTTCTATACTCAATTTTAATATTTTTTGTTTTAATTCTTCTATGTCTAATTCTAAACCTCTTTTTTGTTTGAATTCTTTCATAGTTTCTGGTGAAAAAGTTGTTATTTTATACATTGGTTTTTTTAGATAACTAAGAAATTTATTATTAAATTTTAGTTTTAAACTACTACTTCCTTCTTCTTTTTGTTATATTTTAGTTAAATGCTTAGTCATAACTTCTAATACTGTATTAGAGTAATTTAATTGTTGATGTAATTTGTCAATATCTGTTTTATCTATATTTTTATCATTTAAATTTATCTTTTTATATGGACTTGCTTCTATTTCTTCGTTTTCTATTCTTAATTTAATTTATTCCACTAGGGGATATTCTGATTCTAATATCTTTCTAATGTTGTTTTTCATGTTTTAGAGATCTTATTTATTTGTTTTGTATGGAAATATTCTATGTTATTTTTTAAACAATATTGTTCTAACCATGGAAAAAAATGAGTATTTATTTCTATTTCTTCTAGATAATTATAGAATTTTGTTCTAATTTCTATTCTTTCTTGTTCTAAAAATTTATTGAAAAACCATTTTTTTAAGTTTTTATTATATTCTGCATCTATCTCAGTTTTTATCCATAGTTTATCTATTATGAAAGATTCAACTTTAGTTATTGTATTTAGTATTTGAGATGTTGTTGGACTGTAATTATCTTCACTATTATTTTATACAGATTTATAAATATTCCTGGTTTTGATATGTTGTTTAATCCTTTTAATTCTATTCTTGAATTATCTACAGAGTATCTTGGAGGCTCTCTTAAAATACGGGATTTTGTTATTCTGACGGATGAGGGCCTATTCATTCTTAATCTTATTTTATCGTCAAATTCTATTATGTCTCTTATTTCTGTATTGATAACTTTTTCATGTTCTTTAATGTTTTCTAATTCCCATTTTTCAGGAATTGTTAATTCATCATGCCTTAACTATTTAGGTGTTTGTACTAGGCTTCTTTGTAAATTAGCTTGTATAACTATTATTTCACTAGTTAGAATCTTGTACAGGGCTCTATAATTATAATCTACTTTTGTAACTTTATAATAGACCCTATACATTAAATAAAAAGGATCATATGAATTATCTACTATATTGTCTAGTATTTTAATAAATATTTTTATTGTTTTTGCTATTTTTTCATTATTAAGACTCGTAGTAAAGTTAGGATAACAGTTAAAAAAGGATGGTCCATCATGTAAATTTGTTTCTAATGCTGCTTTTATCAAATCTTGTACTTTATTAAATTTCATGTCTCTTAATAATACTAGAATAGAAAAGTCTATTCTTAATCTAAAGTTTAGTTTTAATGCTAGTTGGATTAACTCTAAATGAATAAAGTTAAAGTTATTTTTATTATTTTTCTAATAAGTTACTTTCTAATAATTGTATGTCTTTTTTACTCTGAATTCCTGGATATAAATACTCTATCTTGTGAATTTGTTCGTTGCTATTAAAATTCCAAAAAGTTCTTTTACTATATACTTCTTTTTCTTTTATTATTAGTATTAACCAATAATGTAAAAACTGTTCTATTTCTTTTGTAGTAATCTGCTATGGGACTGATTTAAAATTTGAATTAAAGTTTGAGATTCTTTATTTATTTATTTCTCTTTTTACTATTTGGTTATATTTTCCTAGGTTTAATTTATTCATTGTTCTTAATAAATTAGTCATTTTTAAGACTTTTGTGACCTTACTGCGACGAGACCACCATAACTGATCAATAATTTTACTGCCACTCCCTTGGATTTATTACTGGAACTACTACACAATACGATTGATCAATGTCTAAATAGCTCTCGCTGCTACACTTGAACACTCCTTTCTTAAACAGTTTTATAAGAATTCTAAAAAAATTATTCTAAAAAATTTATAACCTTTTAGCAATAAGAGAGATAAAATAAAAACTAAACTTATCCTGTGCGACCTTTATTTTATAATTGAATTTTGTAAATAAGAGATATCATTGATGTTTTTTTTAAAAACTATATTTTAATAATTTTGATAAAAATATATAAAAAACCCTAATATACTATTGTACGTTTTAGCGATAATAGATACAAGAAAAATAATTATGAATATTAACACATAATTTTGTTCAATATCTCCTTTTCAGGATAGCGGTGTCGGTGTATGGCTGTCGTCGACCATAAAGGCTAATAATAAAGCATTCTCTGTCTGATGCGCATCAATAGCTTTTCACTTACTATTTTTCTATCACAAAGGCCCTCGGAAACTATGCATATTACCCATCCTACGTAGACATTAGACAGCACATGATCCTCTTTTTTCACACCAAACGGCTATTTTCCTCTTCCTCATATATACGTACGGTGCTGCCTTTTTCAGACTCACTATCGCATCCACTTTTCCCCACCTTCATCGAAACTTACCACACATTCTCAGTAGATCAACGATTAAAACTAAAGTCTAAATAAATATGTTAATCTTAATAATCAGAACTCAATTTAAATAATTAATAATACTAATTTTTATTAAAAAGATATATATATATATATATATATAAATTAATAAATTTTTTTTTTTAAAATTATTATTTTTAATTCGAATATATAAAATACAATTATTCTCACTATCCAAAGCTTAACGAGAAAGTGGTCCCCACTTTTTTGTTTTCAAGATTCTCTCCTATTATCACTCTATTAGTTGTTTAATCTATTTTTACTATTAAATAATTAAATAGCGATGACTTTTGCAAAGAACAGTATCGAGTAAGAAAAAGATAAATATTCCCCCAATTGCGAATAGTCGTTGCAATACTTCAACTCATTAATGATAGCTTCCTCACTTTCTTAAACCCAACAAAGGCTCGTCTTCCCATCCCACACCCTACCCATTTGAACGATTACCCTCTGTGCTACACACCTTCTATTTTATCTTCCCCTGAAAAAATCCTTGGCTTTTTCCCTCATCAACATTGTTTGTTTCTAGCTATATTTGCAGCTTGATCTTAAATTACACACGCCGTGCCACCTGTAGAGAAACACAATAGCAAAATAGACCAAATGGCCTAAGATCAAGCCTCCATTCAATTTACCCAGAAAAAAATTTCCCTTTTACCCTCAACAAAGGACCCAAGAAACATAGCCAACACAAAATGGCTATGCTTCTTATTCCATTGTTAGTTTTTTCTCTGGCATTCAGCACATCGAGTAAGCTCCTTTTGGCTTGCACATAAAAATACTGGTTTTGATTATTGATAAATGATAGCTTACACTATTCCCATTTTGGCATTTTCCTAAACAGACGCAGGTTTCTCATCCCAACCAGGAATCTGCTACGGCCAACTCGGCGACAACCTTCCACCGCCAAAAGAATCAGTGGAACTCATAAAGTCCCTCAAAGCAAAGCGCGTGAAGATCTACGACGCAAACCCAGAGATCCTGCACGCACTGAGGAACTCTTCACTCCAAGTCTCAATCATGGTTCCGAACGAACTCATCGCCAACATCTCCTCGAACCAAACACTCTCGGACCAATGGATCCTCACCAACGTAGTACCGTTCTACCCTCACACCCTCATCCGTTACCTCCTAGTAGGCAACGAAATAATCTCCTCCACTACCAACCAAACCTGGCCCCACCTCGTACCCGCCATGCGCCGCATCAAACACTCCCTCAAAGCCTTCGGAATCCGCAAGGTTAAAGTCGGCACCTCCTCCGCAATGGACGTTTTAGAAACCTCTTTCCCTCCCTCCAACGCTGCGTTTCGTAAAGACATAGCGGTTCGGGTCATGAAACCCATGTTAAAGTTTTTAAACCGAACGAAGTCTTCTTTTTTCTTAGACGTTTACCCCTTCTTCGCTTGGTCTTCTGATCCGGTTAATATCAACTTGGATTACGCATTATTTGAGTCCAGGAACATTACCGTTACGGATCCGGGTACGGGTTTGGTTTATACGAACCTTTTTGACCAGATGGTGGATGCGGTTTATTTTGCCATCAAGAGGCTCGGGTTTTCGGGTATTCGGATCTTCATTGCAGAAACGGGTTGGCCCAATGGAGGTGATATTGACCAAATTGGAGCCAATATTTACAACGCTGCCACTTATAATCGTAATTTTGTCAAGAAGGTTATGAGAAAACCCGCGGTGGGGACTCCGGCTCGACCGGGTGCAGTTCTACCGTCGTTTTTGTTCGCTTTGTTTAATGAGAACCAGAAACCGGGTCCGGGTACGGAGCGGCATTTCGGGTTGTTGTACCCGAACGGATCGAGGGTTTATGATATTGATTTGTCTGGGAAGACGCCGGAGTCGGAGTTTCGACCGTTGCCGCCGCCGGAGAATGACACGCCGTTCAAGGGGAAGATATGGTGCGTGGCCGCGCGTCGGGATAACGCGACGGCGTTAGCTGCGGCGTTGTCGTATGCTTGTTCGCAGGGGAATGGCACGTGTGATCCGATTCAACCCGGGAAAGCATGTTTTAAACCCGATTCGCTTTTCTGGCATGCGAGCTATGCATTTAGTTCTTACTGGGCGCAGTTTAGGAAGACGGGGGGAACTTGTTACTTCAATGGGCTTGCAACTCAAACTGCAAAGGATCCAAGTAAGTATTTTTTTTTAATAATTTAGTTTATTATCTAAAAATAATAAGCTTTTTTTTTTTAATATTTATATAATTTTATGTTTTTAATGTAATTAATATTTTCTTTTAAATTTACTGCTTACTTAACATTTTCCTTTTCACTTATATTGTTGTAGGTTATGGATCTTGCAAGTTCCCAAGTGTGACACTTTGAAGGAGGAATCAAATCAAGCTAATGAAGTTGTGGTTACTCAATCGTATAATGATTCTTTCATTTGACTATTTGGACATTAGGAATTTTGAATTTTGTGGGGTTTCCTTTTTTTACTGTAGTCTAATGTTGCTTTCATTTCATGAATGTATGTTCCTCCTATAGCCTAGCACCCGAACCCACTAAGGAGGAACTTACATTGATGAATGATTTAGAATTTAATGCTCCCACGACTGCATCGCCATTATTTGACATCATGCTACTATAATAAGTGATCAAGTGCAATCATTTTATTCACTATTTACCCAACATGCTTTTATTTTTCCATTGCCAAGTACGATAACCATTTTATGTAATAGTTCTTGCACGATCAAATTTTATGCAAACTATGTAATGTCACTATTCTTTTTTGCCAATTTCGTAGTCCTCTTTATGTACTTTTGAAATGGCTCAATCTTGTCATATGTTTAAGTTGTTTCTTTAAAAGTTTTCCATAAAAGTGAGATGTTTTAGAAATTTGTGTATATTGTACTGTAGTCTTGTCGTTTGGAGGAAAAAAAAAAAGATCTGTTAGAGTGATTTTTATTCCTATCCCTCAAGATGTATTTTTTAAAATGGATAGAGGTTTGATTTTTAGCATATAAAAAATGTATATATTATGAGAATTTAATTTACTTAGGTTTTTATTCTTAAAAAAATAATATATACACATAATGAACATGAGGGTTCAAGCAAAGTTGCATGATATTCATTCCTATTTTCTCAAATTTTCATGGTATTTTTAAATTTTATTTAGGCAATTTTTATTTTTTCAACGACATTTGTTAAACATCTTTTAAGTGAAAGATGTAGTCAACCACACCTGAGAAAGCTGTTGCGTCTTATCCAATCTTTTTGTAATGGCTTTTGCTTTGGGATGGAGTTGGTGGGTTTGTTTAAGGTTGAGATTTTTGTTTAAAGTAATAAAACTAGCGTACATTGATTGATATGGTTCAGTTTAGAAGGAAAAATTGTTCGAATCTTTATCTAGAGACACACACCAGAGTGAAAAGATTGGTTTATTATTTTGTATTAAAGATTGTCGGTTGAAATATTATTTTAATTTTGAAAAGATAATACCAAAGTATGTTTGTAATGTAAAATAGGGAAGACTCAGAATTCGCGAGATATGATAACATATATTTTATATATTTACTTAATTTTAGTATTTGTTAAATTATAAGAATATTACCTTTTTTATTTTATTGGACTAATGTTTTTTTTATCTTGAGTTAGAAAAGAAAGAAAACGAGAACAATTATTTTTTTTAAATCGTTTTTAATTTATTATATTACTTTTCTCTCCTCTCTATTAAAGTTTAAAATATATATTAAATTATTTATATATTTTTATAAATTAAAAATAAATAACTTATATAAAATAAAAATTTAAAATTTAATTTAGTAAAACAAAAGAGCAATTTTGTTATTTTTTGCATAGTTATATCATATCTTAAAGTTATCTATGATATTATTAAGTTTGCATTGAACATTGGGCTTATTTTATCCTACTTTTATCCTATAGATTACTTACAATATTATAAAGAAATTGTAAAAAAACTTGGAACATCAAAGAACTTCTATATTTTAGATGGCGTTTATAAGAAGTATTTTTTTATACGAGATTGCTTGAATTTTTCTGGATGCCTAAATTGGGTGACTTGTTTATAAGATTAGAAGCTAGTTTTATCATTATAATTTTAAAAGAGAAATACACATCATTAAATATTTTGACACAAAAAATAAAATATTGCTGATAAATGTTTTTAGGTGTTGTCTGTTATATTCATACATTGTCGTCCTTTAGATTTTTGTTAACACCTATACTAAGGCAATTCTTTACTTTTTTATTAATTGAGGATTCCTTACTTTATCATTGCATTCTACTTTATATATATTTTTCCAATAATTAGTTAATGAGTTTGGGTAATGTAGATGTGTTTTTATTTTCAAATGAGTATTTTATAATTTTTTTAATCTAGATAACAGTATCTTTCATTGGAATTATTTTTGTTCAACATGTTAATTTATAATTTAACGATTAAAGATATTTTTTTATATTTTATTAAACTAAATAACATTATAATAAAGAGATAACAGTATTACAGTTTAAAAAATGTTATACAAATAAATTATCAAAATCAAGACACATTATTTGTATATATGTGATATATCAAGATTTAAAAATTATAAGTTAAATTAAAATTAATTAAGACAACAATAATTTAAAATTGAATTCATTCAATAAAGAAATATTTTTATCTAAATAATGTCAAAAGCTCCTAATTAAATGATATAATTACCTTAATACCAGTTGAGTAAACCTCGTGTTATATCTTTAACTTAATTTCTCAAGTTGTATACAAAATGTTCAAAATTAGATATTTTTATCATTTGTAAATTTAATTTAATTTAATTTAATAAATATAGATATTATTTACTAAACTAATAAATTTTTAGTAACATTAAAGTAATTTTAAAATTTATTTATTTTAACAAATAAATATTTGTTTTTATAATGCAAATAAATTTTTTAATGAAATAATTCTAATAAATATTTTTTTTTGTTAAACATCAACATTTTATTAAGAATAAATTTAGAGTATTAGAGATACTCTAACATATTACAACTCTAAAGAAAATTAACAATACATGTTAAGGGATCATTAATCCAATTCATATATACAATCAATCTTTCCAGAAGCCCTACTACAAGCCACTTCCAAGAACGATACTTAATAAAATTAAATATTTCATTAATATTTAACACACTGTTATCAAAGAAAATTTTATTCCGCTGAAGCTAAATTATCCATACTACTGCAAATTATACAATTACAATTCCCTTTTATTTCTTTTTTTTACATTGGACTCCACACATGCTTAACAATGTCTCGTGCAAATTTTTAGATAAGTATAAACTAACATCAAACTATTCAAACGCCATGTATCACAGTTTCATGGAGACACCGCAAAGCAAAAAAAGATGCAATATGTCATCATCTTCAATATCACATAACCCACAAGTTTATGAGGAAATCATCAATCCATGTTTGGTCAAGTTCTTCCGCATCAAGATTGCATTAAGCAGTAGGTGCTAAATGAATACCACTGTTTTTCTCGACGCATTGATCTTCCAAATCTTGCTTAAGGCTGATGTAACATATTTTATGTTTACATTTAATATTTTATTTTGATTAATAAATACTTTTCATATGCTTTATTTTTATAGTTTTTACCACTACTTATTTGAATAAATTGGGTTTATTACAAATAAATATTTTAATTTTGTATTTTCAGTTATTTTGACCTCTGACTACTCTTTTGGCCATAACTTTTTCTACAGATATCTTTTTTATCTGATTTTAATTGCATTAGATTCTACACATCCATGACTTCAAAATGCATATATGGATCACTGGATTTAGAGTTGTTTTCAATTTTTTTTATGATTTTTTGAAGTTAAGGTAGATTTGCTGAATATTGTTGCGGGATTGCATTTGGACCCTTGTATTTGGGCTTTTAGATATTATTGAGGCCCACATTTTGACTACTTAATTTATCCTAATCAGAACCTATAAATAGACTAATAAGGTTCTGAATTAAGGGAGAAGTGATTAGACACTTTGAGACTTGGTCGAAATAAAAATCTTTATTTTTACTTTCTCTCGAACTCTTTTATTATTTTCTCATTCTTGCGTGGGGTAAGCATTTCGATAGAAGGCTAAATCTCTCGTTCTTATATCCTCTTTGGTTTTAGTTTGATTACCTTTGTAAATTTTCTACATTCATTATGCCCCTTTATAACCTAGAAAAGTCCTCTTGATTTTTGTGTGTATGTGTGAATTCTAGCGGAGAAGTAGGCAATGACCAAGCTTATGGATGATCATGCTTCATGTTGTGCATTTTGAATGACACATTTTACCTTATACACTTGAGTGATTGAGAGTATATCGTGTGAGGATTCTATCTCTTATGGTTTATTCACTTGATTTGATAAGTTCATTTGTCAATTTGAAGTGTGAGGATTGATTTCTATTTTATCCATGATATTTGAACTTAATGGGCTTTGTACATAGCCTAATTTGTTTTAGGTCCTATATGGTTTAATTTTGTGATTTGTCCCAGAGGAAAAAATCTTAAGTGTGGGGGAATTTGATGTAACATATTTTATGTTTACATCTAATGTTTTATTTTGATTAATAAACACTTTTCATATGCTTTATTTTTATAATTTTTACCATTTTCTACTTATTTAAATAAATTGGGTCGATTACAAATAAATGCATTAATTTTGTATTTTGGTTTATTCTGACATCTGACTACTCTTTTGGCCATAAATTTTTCTACAAATATTATTTTTGGCTTATTTCAGTTGTATTGAATTCTACACATCTAGGGCTTCAAAATGCATATATGGATCACTGGATTTGAAGTTATTTTTGTTTTTTTATGATTTTTTGAAGTTGAAGTAGATTTGTTGAATATTGTTATGGGATTGCATTTGGACCCTTGTTATTTAAATTATATTTAGGCTTTTAGATATTATTGAGGCCTACATTTTGGCCACTTAATTTACTCTAATCAGAACCTATAAATAGACTAATAAGGTTATGAATTAAGGGGGAAGTGATTAGACACTTTGAGATTTTGAGACTTGGTTGAAATAAGAATCTTTGTTTTTACTTTCTTTTGAACTCTCTTATTCTTTTCTTGTTCTTGCGTGGGGTAAGCATTTCGATGGAAGGCTAAACTTCTCGTTCAATCCGTGGAATCCAAACGTCATAACTCTGACTTAAGTTATGCGCTAAATTGCTCTAAGTTTGTTCTCTTTTCTCTCTAATATCATAATTGTGTATTGCGATCGTAATTGACTTTTCTATTGTTAGAATTCAAATTAGGACTCAATTGATGCTCTGATTTGATAATTAATGCAGATTAGGTTAAATGATTATTTGATTTAATTCGTAATTCTATTCAATTAGGATATTCGATTGAATTAATAATTAAATTGGGTGATTGTTCAAACGCGAATTTAAATCTTTAGATACTGTGATAGTCAGAGTTACATGCAATTGGTATTCTGTGGATTGATGTTTCTTAATTCATTTTTACTCACTTTAATTCTATCTGTAATTTAATTTAATTAATTTACAATTTTCAAAACCCCAAAAAACCTATTTGCATTCTTTAAAATAAAACCTAAAATTGAATTTGACTGAAAATGTGTCTCCGTGAATTGACTTAGGTTTGACTCTATACTACAAAACTTTTAGAAAACTTAGTTGTTTTGATAGTGACTTGACATCATCTATCAAAGGCCTGCACTAGACCCGACTCCAAACCACTACCTGCAGTAAAGAAATGATGAA